TTTCTGTGTTGTCTTCTGATTTATACTTAAGCTGATTTATCTTATTTTCTTTTTTATTCAGTGGATCACATGCTTTGTTTTATGGAGAAGAAAAGCACGCAGATGCAAGTGAGTTGATCATTGCGATTCTGTTTCTTTTCAATAAATTGTTTCTATACTCCTTCAACTTCCTACGATTCTCTTACCTTAGAAAAGAAAGCAACAACCTATTTCCCTTTCTGTCTGCTTGAGTTTAGTTGTTTGTTTGAGCAACTTTTAACATTCGATTAAATCTTGATACTTGTTAGGTACCCATTTGGATCATCGACCAACAATCCAGGCTTGCTAATGCTTTTAGACAAGGGACCTCATGTGGAGCAGTGGAGATGTCTGATGAGCACGCAGGTGTAAAAACCAGCTCCAAGTAGTCCACATCGATCACTGAAGACTGTAACATAAACGTCAGTACGAAAGGGATTGTAGTCAGATTGATTGCTTTTTCATTTTACTTTCTTTCTCCCCCTTGTATTTCTTGCTGCAGCAAATTGTGGGTTCACTCTGCACTGTGTTCTTCCCCTTAATTCATGGAATTGTAACCTTTGGCTGAACCAGTGTCATCGAAAATATAGATGTTCCACTGCCAGTTTGGAACTTGTGAATAATTGTGATCAATATGGCTTGTTTGGTCTCTACTCAAGTTTTTATTTTTCTTTTTACCTGTATATTACAACTTGTGAATGAATTTTTTCTCTTGGTACTTTTTCTTTTTTTGTCAATCAGATGTTAGTGCTTATTGCACTTTTGTATTCGTTGTCTAAAAACTTCTTTCTTAGTCGTTTACTACGACGTGTTAATGAATTGGTCTTACGTGTCACTTTAACTTGTATTTATTGTGTCACACCTTCAAAATTTATGTATTATGATAGTATTGGGACTTAGGAGTTTCTATGGGGATTTGTTGCTTTTGAATTTACGGTTTTTTTAAAAAAAATGATCTTTTTATCTTCGCGAGACAGTGAAAAAATTTGCTTACATTCTACTTTCCTCGTATATCATTTGTGGGGTTTTACTGATTATATTGTTATTTAGTTGTCAAAAGATCAAATTAAGATGTTTTGTAGGGTATTCTCAAAGTTGAAGTTAAGTTTGAGGGTCTATCGTAAATGATATGCAGATATATTTCGTCATATTTTTTGGAATCGGTGCCCCTTTGTCCAAAAACTAAAACATATATATTCTTTATACTAACGGATATACACATGACATAATTTTATCCACAGTATCAGATCAATGGATAAAATTGCGTCACAATGTCCCCTTTTGGTCTCCGACTAGAGTGAAGGGCTAATTTTAGGATATATATGCTCTAATTCTTGAACACGGAGATATCAATGTCCAAAATTATAACATCGGATATCTACGTACCATTTACGATAGATATCTATTTTTCCTTTCTCTTTGTTTATATACTATGCCTATAAATAAACATTAAAAAGGAAAAAAAAACACACACGCTATAAATAGATCAGGTTTGGCTGCATTGAAGTGTTGTACGGTCTAAACCAGGGGCAAAACCCCCTTTGTTTTTGTAGGAGAAACTGCAAATACTACTCTCAGTGAAAAACCTCAAGGCTTTGGCGGCTCAAACTATACTTCACAACTTCAACAATGCTGGGTTCCAAGAGCTTGTTATTCAAGCAGCAAAAACGAAAGAGAAAAAATGGTAAGATTAAGAAATCGAAGAGAATTTCTGTTTCTGCAAAAGAAGAAACTGTAGCGGAACCATGCCAAATAGCCCCAGAAGAAGAAGAAGAAGAAGAGGAGGAAGGTTTCAGTTTGAAATCTACAGCACAATCAGATTCCTACGGAGTTCAGCCACTTGGGAATCTTTATTTCAACCCATCATCTCATAATTCAAGAAATACTGGTCTAGGTAATCTTCAGACTTTAACTGATGAGCTTGTTCTTGATATTTTAGGTCTTTTGGAAGGTACCCATTTAGGTATTTTGTCAACTGTTAGCAAAGGTTTCTATATTTTCTGTAATCATGAACCCCTTTGGAGGAATCTTGTATTGGAGACTTGTAAAGGTGGGTTTTTGTTTAAGGGGTGTTGGAGGTCTACTTTTATTAGTGCATATAGGCCTTCATTTCCAGTTTTGAGTTTTGGTTTGAAAGTTAGAGACTTTTATTCTGATTACTTGTTTCAGAGTTGGTTATGTGCTAATCTTGAAATGAAACCTGAATGGCTAGAGAGGGATAATATAGTGAGGAGGAAAGGGATTTCTCTTGATGAGTTTGTGATGGATTTTGAGGAACCGAATAAGCCGGTTTTGTTAGAAGGGTGTTTGGAGAATTGGCCTGGATTGGAGAAATGGAATAGGGATTATCTTGTTAAGAAATGTGGGGATGTGAAATTTTCTGTTGGGCCGGTGGAAATGAAACTTGAAGACTACTTTAAGTACTCTGATCAAGTGAGGGAAGAAAGGCCCTTGTATTTGTTTGACCCAAAGTTTGCGGAGAAAATTCCTCAATTAGGAAAGGATTATGATGTCCCAATGTACTTCAATGAGGATTTGTTTAGTGTTTTGGGTAATGAGAGGCCAGATTATAGGTGGATTATAATTGGACCTGCAGGGTCTGGCTCGTCATTTCACATCGATCCAAATTCTACCTCTGCTTGGAATGCGGTAACCAAAGGATCCAAGAAATGGATATTATTTCCCCCGGATGTGGTGCCACCAGGGGTTCATCCAAGCCCTGACGGTGCAGAAGTAGCAAGTCCTGTTTCAATCATAGAATGGTTCATGAACTTTTACAACGCAACCAAGAATTGGAAAAAGAGACCTATCGAATGTATCTGCAAGGCGGGTGAAGTTATTTTTGTACCTAATGGATGGTGGCATTTGGTCATCAATTTAGAGGATTCAATTGCCATTACACAGAACTTCGTTAGCAGGTATGCTACTTTTGTCTCCTATATTTCTGTCACTTGATAAAATTTGATATTGTTTTCATGCTTGCTGACAAATAATTATATGTACTAGTTTCCTTAATAGCATGTAATGGTTCTGTTTTATAAGGTGGACACTAGATATAATGCAAAAGTTCACTATTGGTTTAGTAGCTGTAATTTAATATCACATATACTCTCAGGTTAAGCTCATTAACTAGAAAAACGAACCCATCAACTCACGAATGTTTGCTTGTTTCGATCTTTTATCACTGTAAACATTTCCTCTCATGTGATAGTTTTGGATAGACCACCTTAAAGCTTGAGATGTTTTTACTGATAAAAGACCTAAACAAACAAACTTTAGTGAGTTCGTGAACTATGGTGACTCATTTTTGTAGTATGGGATTGAATGTTTGTTGTGGGCTTCTTTTTAAGAAAAGATACTTCTTTAGTGTTCTATTCTTTCTCCCCTTTCTTCTAATCCTCACATATCCTAGTCAGGATTAATTAAGTCAAACCACGATAACCTCATCACTTGAAGATTTGTTCTCAAACACAGATATGCATAATCATTCTTAACTGAATTTGCTACTCCATTGTGAAAGAGTGCTGATGTTGATGCCTATCTGGAGAGAAAGTTGTATCATCATTTTGCAGCCTTAGGTATGCAGCTTTTCTTGTGCTATGGATAAGATGATATCTTCCCTAGACATGTGACGTGATCTCTTCTGTAGCTATTACTTTCATTTTCATCTTCTTGATGCTTTTTTTTAATTGGAACTGCTTACTTCATCTAAAAAAGAAAACTTTCCTCGATAACACTCTGAGCCCTGCACTTATGTCTGCTTAGGATCACCACCAATATTTTCTAAGACAACTCTCTTCATCCCCTTGTGTATCTGTTTAGGATCTCCTTCCCGGTGTGTCTATTTAGGATCTCCAGTGAGTTTGGAGAGGATAACTCTTTCAGAATTCCCTTGCTCGGTCCAATATCAATTTTTTGCTGTATTTTCAACTGTCATTTCGCCTTGCAGGAGGAATTTAGTGAATGTTTTGGAGTTCCTAAAAAGGCCAAATGCTTGCACTCTTGTGTCTGGAACAAGCGACAGAGTCAATTTGCACGACAAATTTAAGAATGCCATCGAAGCACATCTTCCTGGTACTATTGATGAGTTGACTCTGAAAGCCGAGGAGAAAAAGGCGCAGCAGAACAAACCTTCCTTCTGGGAGTCAGTCACTGATTCAAATGCAGGCGTTTTCAGATTTTCTTTTTGATTTAAGGCCAATGATGAAACCTTCACCAGTTAGTCCTGAGGTGCTGGACTTTTACCAAATCTTCTGAACAAACAGATGAAGCTGCAAGAATGAAACTAAAATTTTGTTTACTTGACAAGAGGGATTATTAAGGTAGTTATTATCATTTTTATTCATTGATCTTGAATGCAATGGAGACTCAATATATCATTTATTTTTTATTAAAATTAATACCGTCTCAATTTTGTCTCAATTTGAATGATTAAGATGATGTCTCTGTATCTCGAACACAGGATGATAAAGACTCTTTGTTTTTCATTAGTTTGAATGTGCATAAATTTTTTTTTTATGAAAAAGGTCAAAAATACCTTTATATTTCTGATAACTTTTTTTATTTATTCTACTTATATTAGCCTAATATAAACTTCTATTTTAAATATAAATAGATATAATTCCAGCATTCACGCGAAGCATAAATTTGAAGTTTATGGTTTTGAAATTTTCATCGCGACAAATAGAGGCGGAGCCATAATTTTTAATAAGGGCTTCAAAATTTATATAAATACACACGCATGAAGTAGCCGAAGGAATTTCAACATTTACTATATATATATATATAAATAATATATTTTTTCATCGAAGGAAATTTGGATGACCCTCTTCGAATTTTGAGGTAAAATTTATATTTGTATTATAAAATTATTTAATATCAATATAAAAAAATAATCATGACCTAGACTCATAAACTTATAGCTCATTTTAGTTGTTAGATTCGTTTCTCGTATATTTAATGACTTTCTTAATTCAAATAAAAAGTCTATCGCGAATAAATTTAGATTATTGCTCTAATATTGTAGCTCTGCCCTGTTCACGTACGAAATATTTACGTAAGCGATAATAAAACATGCATGCATGAAAAGAAAAACTTTTCAAATCATCAAAAAAGATTAGCGAATTGATCAAAATATCATTTCAATTTTCCCTAATCGATCCATACATATTTTTCTATTTTCTCAATAATTTTTTGCCAATTTTTTTTTGAATATCTAACATATATTGTTCGATTCTTGAATTTGCGCTGAAATTTCAGATTTTGATATGTTTTTTTTTTGGTTCAATCGAGTGATTAGTGGAGTATTTAGCAATTTGGGGTTAAAATTTATTAGGGTTCTATTGAATTTATAGTATGATGGTATTAGAAATCGAAAAAGGTTGAGATTTTGATTGTTGAGCTAATGGGGAATAATTGTGTTGGACCCAAATTGGCTAACAATGGGTTCTTACAATCTGTTACTGCAGCTGTGTGGAAACCTAATCAGTCGGAGAATTTACCACTCCCGAATGCAGGGGAACCTAATTCAGAGAATTCGGTTGATTCATCGAAAGGCGCGGTGGATGGATCTGGTATTCAAGGTAATCCACCTCCACATCTTATGATAAATGCTGATACACAAATGGGTAATAATGATGTAGTGATTGCTAATAATGTCACTGTTACTGATAAGCCCCCTGTGGAAGGGGTGAAACAGAATAAGCCTACTCATGTTAGGAGAACGTCGAGTATTGGGGTTCAGATTGAATCTGTTTTGGGACGAAAAACGGCTAATTTGAAGGAGATTTATAGTTTAGGGAGGAAGTTAGGACAAGGGCAGTTTGGGACGACGTTTTTATGTTTAGGAAAGTCATGTGGAAAACAGTATGCGTGTAAGTCCATTGCGAAAAGGAGGTTGACAACTGAGGAGGATGTAGAGGATGTGAGGAGGGAGATTCAGATAATGCATCATTTGGCAGGACAACCAAGTGTGGTACAGATTGTGGGTGCGTATGAGGATGCTGTTGCAGTTCATGTTGTAATGGAGCTTTGTGCAGGCGGGGAGCTTTTCGATAGGATTTTACAAAGAGGGCATTATTCAGAGAAGAAGGCAGCTGAACTTGCTAGAGTAATAGTAGGTGTTGTAGAAGCATGTCATTCCTTGGGTGTTATGCATAGGGACTTGAAACCCGAGAACTTTCTATTCGCTGATCAGGAAGAGGATTCAACTCTGAAGGCGATTGACTTCGGATTATCAGTGTTCTTCAAGCCAGGTATACTCTTGAAAACACAATTTCCTTAATACTGGCATTAGCACCAACCCTTAGCCTGTCATTTATCTGGACCTCACTGGTGATTCATATCAATAGGCTACAATTATTATTTCCAATTCATATGTTTCCATGGATGCTTCACTTCTATTTCTTTCACCTTATCAAGCATACAAATCTGGTACACCCAGGTGAAATCTTCAATGATGTTGTTGGAAGCCCTTACTATGTGGCCCCAGAAGTGTTGCGGAAGCATTATGGTCTAGAATGTGATATTTGGAGTGCTGGAGTCATTATTTATATACTGCTTAGCGGCGTTCCCCCATTTTGGGATGGTAAAGCTCTTTTTTATTTCTTTCATTGTGATTTGATCCTATAGACCTTGAGGCAAAGATGAAGACTGTTCTGCCAATGAATTTTGATGTTTTTGAATCAGAGACGGAGCAAGGAATATTTGAACAAGTTTTAACAGGGGAACTTGATTTTGCATCAGAACCCTGGCCTGCTATATCTGAAAGTGCAAAAGATTTAGTCAGAAAAATGCTGGTGAGAGATCCCAAAATGCGGTTGACAGCTCATGAAGTTCTTTGTAAGATGCAGTATTCACCAGTCTGATCTTTTATGCTCTTCTCAATGTTGTGTATGTTTTCAGTATTTGATGATACTGCTCGTCCTTTTTCCTTGTCCTACGAATCACTTAATTCTTAAATAGATTTTCAACTGTCTTGATATGCATCTAAAGTCGTTCTTATTATAGAACTTAAACGTTCTTTTGGTACTTCTGTTCGAAAAATATCCTTATTCCTGTTGTCTTATAAGTCCTATTTTACTTTTGATGACAGTAACTGGAGATACCCAAAAGATTTAGATCTTGTAATTGGTTGTAGTCAGTGGCTACTTGCTTTCTTGATGCTATATTAACGAACCAGATTTATTTAAGTTCTTTCATTTTCGACTATACATCACTTCATGTGCATGCTACGTGTAAGAAAGGATATGTAAACGTCAATTTTTTTCTTCTAACTCTTGGAATCAGATGATTTAAATGATTTTTTTTTCAAAAAAAATTAAACTAGTGGTATCTCAAACCAAGGTTTTGTGCAGCTTAGTGTTTATAAATTTGGAGTTTAGCCAAATTGTTGACTGATTGAGATTTGAGACTTATGTAATCAGAGGACTTATATTCCTAAGAGTAATATCTTCTCAATTTTTTTGGGTACATATGTTAAAAAGGGTATACAAACTGAACGATTTATGTCTTCTATTTGAGCTTCTTTTAGAGATAGATTAACAGAAAGAATGTGTACGGGAGAGGTAATGGAAGAAGCAGTTGTAAAATGGTTAAACCTGAAGTTCTTCACTTTTTATTTGGTATATATGAAGGGCACTATCATGTCTGTCTGTGTATTTGATTAAGAAAGTACAGTAAAATATTTTTTACTTGAATGACAAGTATGTTTATTGTCTATTTCAGGTCATCCATGGGTCCGTGTTGGTGGGGTTGCTCCAGATAAGCCTCTTGATTGTGCTGTTCTAAGTCGGCTCAATCAGTTTTCTGCAATGAATAAATTAAAGAAGATAGCAATCAGAGTAAGTTCTTCTATTTTTTCAGATCTATGGTCACTGAGTTTACCCAAGTAATGACATTCATTGAGTTTCTGCATAAGAAAAAGTATGAGAATCCTTTCAACAAAGAAAAAACCGTGGCTATCATCTAAATAGTTTTTCCATTTTATTTCGTAAGTGGAAGATATGTGGTTATTTCCTATTTATATGCAGCTGTTCCAGGCTTGTATACATTTCTCCCTAATTTTAAATCAGGAACAGGAGAAGGATATCAAACATATTGCAGTATCAAGTAATACTGGTTTTTAGTTGTTATTCCTGAGCAGTTCCTGTTTGCTTTTTAGGTAATTGCTGAAAGTCTGTCTGGAGAAGAAATTGCAGGACTGAAGGAAATGTTCAAAATGATAGACGCAGATAATAGTGGACACATTACACTAGAAGAACTGAAAACGGGTTTGGAAAAAGTGGGTGCCAATCTGAATGATTCAGAAATAGTTAGTTTAATGCAAGCAGTAAGTATCTGTATGTTATGTTCAAGAGAACTTTTATGCGCATTATATACAGCTTTAAACAGCATTAAGAACTATGATCAGCTTTTATATATGTCACACCAGTCTTCTCTTATTGGACGCCTAGATTATTAAATTGTATCACCTGTATCCTTTAGAAGTATTATTGACTAAAGGTATATAGGTGAAGTCGAAAGCATTTACTTCTAAGTTCAACTCAACACCCAAAAGAGTGGAATAGTTGGGTCGTATACACTTGGATGCTGTAGATGGTTTGTCCAAAAGGGTCAATGGAGGAGTAGGACTGCTTCTTCTTTGATTCAATGTTGATATATTTTGGATTTGAACTAAATCAGTTAAACGTAGATTTGAAAGGGAATTGGGACTAAAGCTACAGACATCTCTTGACTTACATTCCTTTGTGAATTGTCGAAATAATACTTATCAACTCTGAGTCTATAGCACATACTACAACAACAATAACAAAAACATACCCGTGTAGTCCCACAAGTGAGGTTTAGGGAGGGTAGTATGTACACAACCTTACCCCTACCTTGTGAAGGAATCTATAGCACTTACTCTTTTGTAATAAGATCTCATAAATGGACGGCTTTTAAGCAAGAATGTAATTATAGGACATAAGTAATGATTATTTTCCTCGACGTTATTAAACTGTTGAATACTTCTGCAACTGCTTGATTTTGTTTCCATTCATATATTCTTAACAATAAATTTGTCCAAAATGATCCTTACAAGAAATAACCTTTCTGTGTGGAAAATTCAGGCAGATGTTGATAATAGTGGTACCATTGATTATGGAGAGTTTATAGCTGCTATGCTCCATCTAAATAAAATTCAGAAGGAAGATCACATGTATGCCGCTTTTTCATATTTTGATGAAGATGGTAGTGGATATATCACACAGGATGAGCTCCAAAAGGCTTGTGATAAGTTTGGTTTAAGCAATATCCCCATAGAAGAGCTTATGCGTGAAGTTGATCAAGATAATGTAAACCCTATTATTCTCATCTTCAGAGTTCTATTTCTCATTTCTTACAGATGTATAATGTGCATGGTTAAACATAGGAACATGATATGATCATAATGTTCATGGATTAGTCTCATATCAATTTGTTCTTACTTATTTTTCTTTTTCAGGATGGACGCATCGATTACAGTGAATTTGTAGCGATGATGCAAGACACTGGTTTTGGTGACAAAGGAAGCAAAAGTGTGTTGTAAACATTGGCATTCAATAGGCCTTAAAGCCTGGTAAACTTGATGATAGTGATAAAACATGTACTACTTGTGTATTATCATCCACCTAAGTACATGAAACAGAAACTTGGATTGCATTTACTTTGCAGGATCAACAATCATAGCTGCACGGAGTATGATAGAACTCCTCGGTACAGTCACTCGGGAAGTCCATCCCGAGGGACACTCTGATAAAATTCTTGCGAGAGCTGGAGAAGCGTCTACTGGTAAAGCACTGTATCCATGTAACTGCTTGCCATCTACGCACCGCCATCCTTTACAAGTTTAGGAACCTAGGAATTATCACACTCATGCTTTAAGGAGGAGGACTCTTCTCTTGTTCTGCCAAAAATGCTTACTCATGGTCAACGCTGCAGTTGATGATATGATTCTGGACTAGTTTCCAGGCATACACCAACCATACATACCACTTTCTCGTTTAGGAATTTCTCAAGTATGCAGTAAAGATTAGTCAGGCATCGTTATTTGAACAAAAAATCAGATTGTGTTATACTGTAAAAATTAGTCAGGCATCAGGGAGGAAAGGCAAATATTGTATCTTCTATTTCTTTTTCTTGAGGAAACCGATGTTCGTTTAGGCTTGTGTTCCATTGAACCTGTAGCCTGAATGGTTTGTATTGAAGTAGCTCCTGCAGGATAATCCAGAGTTCATTAGTTAATTGTCTCACCATTTCTTGTGAGTACCTCATTTTTAGGGATCTTCTTGAGATTTTTAAACTTGATTGCTAAGGTAACTTGCTGACATGATGGTAACATTTTGATATTAATGAACCATAATAGTTGCAACTGTACTGAATGGTGTATTGTTATTGATTCAGCCTCAGTAGGGGACTAGAGTAGCTATGTTTTAATAAGTCATTTTCTGCATCAATGTAACATACAACATATATCTGGGAATTTTCTTTTTGTTTCATAACTATGGATCTGGTTGTTACCAGATGGACTGAAATTACACAGTATAAACAAGGTTCAGTTGTAGACAATGAATCTCCCTATAACTTCTTCGTGTGTTTTTACTTCTTTATATTTTAGACCTCATTAGTGAAAATCCTGCCCTCACCACTATTCGCGAGGATTGGGAATATAAATGATAGTTTCCTGTGTTTTTATTGTTTGCACCATCTGATGCTATTCTTGAGAAGGTTGAGAACAATCTTCTGATGTTTGCACAACAGGTACAATATACATGTCTTTGAAGTCACCTCTGTTTGGTTAAAATTTATGAATCTGTTTGTGAACAAGAGAACTTAGCTAAAAACTGTTTCTTTTCAGCTTAACATTGAATTTTAAGCACTGCACAAAGCAATCTATACTTCAGTCTTGTTTTTGGTTTGATATATTCTTAATATATGTAACTTATATGTAAAACACTTAGTTATGGCAATTAAAGTTTCAATATCTTCTTTTGATTATAGAACACCAAAACTTGTATACATATGTAAAGTCAATGTCTCTTGTTTAATGAGCATAAAGGGATGCATTATATGTAATGCAAAGGTGGAGATCAAATTCATGATAACTAAGAGATTGACATCCTTTGGCAGAAAGTTGCAGAAAAGAAAAAGAAGACAATTAGCAGAATTTGCAAAATTAAAATCTGTGATTTCTATACTGGAGGAACCTCAATTGGAACCTCATTTTCCAGTTTATTGATATAAAGAAAAAGTAAATACATAATGAACTTTCTTTTTTTGTGTCAAATGTTTCTTTTTAGCTTAACAAGTAGATATCATGCTAGTGTCCTTAACCAACCAAGTAGTCTAAGAAGAGCACTGTCCAGCACATCTGATTTTTTTTCAAACCCTGTGACAGAAAAAAGAGAAGATGTCAAACCAAACAGACAGTTACTTATATGGACTTCAAATTAAGGCGGAACACATCGACAACCCTTGACTAAGCCATAAACCTCTCCCTTGTTCCAATTAAAGCTGATGTGTATAGTTGAAGGAGGAGGTCACATATTTTGTGTGGTTGACTTATCTTATATAACAGGCGCTTTATCATGTGTTCACGTGCTCAATTGTAATATGTTATAGTTAGAGTGTCTAAATGAAATTTACTAGCAAATTTAAGGGGCTATTGATGCTCGACGTTGTAAATACTCATTCATTTTCATTTTTGAAGGCCACATTATAAATATTTGGTCGAGCTTATGATGTGTAAATAGATATTGCACAAATGTTATTAGGATTTTCAAGCTCAGAAAATGAACTATTTGGACTATCATGTTTACCTAAGTCAGCTGCAACACGATGAGCGCACATTACTCCTGAAAAGGCTACAGCTATAACACCTTGTCCTGGGAAGCAACTATCGCCAACACAATATAGACCATCTATAGCCTGTAAGCTCAGAAACATTACGGAACAGTTTATTCTGTTTGTACCAGCAGAACAATAAAAGCAACTACATACGTAAAGGATGATTAACTCACAGTGGTATTGAAAGGCATTCCCAGGAGTCCCTTAGGTGTTCCGCGTGGCATTGGTCCATAGGTACCACTATCACGAGCAAGGTATCGTCTGTGGGTCTTTGGAGTTCCCACCTACAAGAATTCAATTGTAAACATAGATGGTGTAACTCCACGGCCAAAACTATTTCAGCAAGCATAAGAGCATGTGGATTTGCTATTGAAGACAGATAATATTGCTCATTATGAACAACTATTGAGTTCATAAAATCACGAACTTAACCTCCTTAAAGAGAATAGATGACTTAAGCCCTGGGAAGAGTGTTTTTTCAAGTCTGCTTATAATCCTTTCAGCAACAACCTCTTTCTTCGCTTCATAGTCTTTCGGAGAGAGTCCCTAGTAAGGATAAAGGGCCATACTTTAATTTCCATAAAAAGGAAAAAGAGACATAGATGTGGAAGAGGTTACTACCAACAACACTCAAGGAGTGTACTGAATTTACCTCCCAATCTTCAATGCTCGATGTTGTAAAAATGTGAAGAATATGGTGTCCTTCTGGGGCCAATGAGGAATCAAGAACTGTTGGAATACTCAAGAATATACTTCCATATGGTTTCTCCAAATTTGTCCAATCATCCTGTAAAATCAAGGAATCATGAATGGGAACATCAAGTATGAAAAAATAAATAGCAAATCAATTGAACTGCCGTAGTACCTCGAGGACAAAATGGTGACAATCTGTGTCTGGTGGGAGTACATCTGCTTTAACTCCCATATGAATAGAAAGAAAAGAAGGTGCTTTTACATAAGCTTTCTGGAAATTTTCTTCTTCTTTTGGCAGATTCTCAGCTTTTAAAAGCTTTCCTACAGATGTAAGACACTTGACATGAGATGACGAGATTTAAAGAGAATCAAATATGTGCAAGAATACCACAGTACTGGCCCTAAGACGAAAGAATCTTAAGAAAACATATAAGTTTTGCTGGATTCCTTGTAAACTAACCAAAAGTATCCCATCTGGTAGCATTCGATACTATGGTTTTAGCATAAAACTTCCTCCCGTCAGAAAGCTTCACTCCCACCTAAAGAAAAAGAAGAATTAGAGAAAATGAACTTGCGCAGATACTGGCAAAGACAACATTGAAGATGCTACACAAGACACCATTATGACATGGCAACATACAATGTCATTATATTGTTAGGTACAATTTATTCATGTATGTAGAACAGTAAAAGTACAGACCCTACATCAGTAGAATAACTTCAGGGATGTAACTGAAATACAATTAAAGGGGATGTGAATCTACACAATGTTGTGATAAGCAAAATAGTACACTATATCAATTACAATCAACTATAACAAATGCATGACATTTTAACAGAAGTAATTTGTTCTTCCCTCTTCGTTCTCCTCATTCTTTTCTTCTTTTTCTATATACTTACTAGCCAATTCTTTTCTTATAATGTTTTAACACTCTGACATGCTAATGTAACCTTAAATTTTAAAACGGCATGCATTTAGGGACACCAAAGGCGTATCACATGGGAAGAAGATTTTACCACAGTTATGAGTGTGTGAAGCATGAGTCCTTGAACATCAAAAGAGTGTCGGCTACAACTTTCTAACACAAACACCAGACTACAGCTTTTGCATTTTATGATGGGAATAATCAATCATAAGAAAAGTTAAATAGTCTTACGACAGAAAACTCACAGCTTTGCCATTGTCCAAAATGATACTTGTAACATTTGCCCTATAAAGTATCTGACTTCCGTGATCATCCAAGCCTTTTGCTAAGGATTTGGCGATCTCGCCAACTCCACCAACGGGGTAGTTGATTCCGCCAAAATGTCTGTCACATAGAACCTGCAGAAAGAAAACTCACGAGGAAGTGGAACTGAATATCACGAAACACAACACGGCCTAAGGTTAATATGCAGAATTACCATGCTTGCATTGATCATTGGTGTTTGTAATGCATTAACTGTACTCACGATAAAGCACTGCAAAAGAGACAATGGAGTTGAATTCTTTAAGAGGTAAAGAAATCATTGGAGCTGATAATAAGTAACACAGATTATTCGCCTCACCTCTGCATCTATAAAAGACAGCAACCCAGGATCTCTTATATACTTCCGAGCGATGCTACCAGCATTCTGGGGCAAATAGTAGGCTGTAATGAATAATGATGGCATAAATTAAGATTCTACGGTAGGATAATTAAGCACGTCGCGCGCTGCACACATCAGCGTGAAAGATGACTCCTTAAATTTTTTTGATGACCGAGGGCAAACACTCAGGACCATCAATAGTGCTCAAAACTCGGGGATAATGGCCCCTCCCCTTTACCATTCTTCACTTAAATAACTAGCTTTGTTCGCATGCCACAGGGCTCAAACCGGTGACCAAAGTCACAAGTCCCACAAACTTTGCTACTTGAACTAAGCCCTTGGGGATAAAAAGTGACTCCATGATTGGGGACTTATTACTGAATTAGTCCAACCAATGGATATGTGCGAATTCAAGGAATACTATATTTGAAGTTAAAGCAAGGAAAAACTTACCAAGAGTCAAGCATTCAAGGGGCTTCTTAAAGAACTGGCCAAAAAGGTAGATGGGTTCCTCCAAAGACTTCAGTTCCAATGAATTCAGAGAATTAAAGATCTGTGCATCCATATTCATCATATGATTTGAGTCTAAATCAAGGAGTCCAAAATTTAAGCCAAACCTGCAGACACCTTAATGAAGACAAACCTTCCAGCATTCACTGTAAAATTTGATAATCCCTTCCTTTTCATGTGGAAATTTACTCACAAGCTCTTCAATGAAGTCATCATACTCTCGGTGTATACGAACAGAAAGGTCATTTGGCAGGTGGAAATGTACAGTTGTTGGGTCAGGTATAACTTCTAATTTACGTCCTACTGCTGCCAATGCTTGAGTAATTAAATTGAGGTTTCCCTGTCAAAAGATGTGAGACATTAGTTTAAATCTAACCAGGAACAACAGTAGTCCAATCACGTGGAAGCACTGCAGACCATATACAATAGTAAAAAGCATACACCATGGCCAGTATAAACTATGTTAATGACCTTTTTGGTATATCTCTTGTATATGACCAAGTTGGCCTTGTTATTATCAATGAAAACCATACTTGATTAAAAAAAATTGTTAAAGATGTAGTCATTATACGTAATATTTGGATGCATTCTTGAATGAAAACATAATCACTTCCACACTTTCAGACTATGGAGCGGTGTGTGTTGTGTACTTGTTGATCGATTCGTGATATTTAGTGTACTTGTCTAAATACTTGCTTTCTGTCTAAATAAAGCAAGTATTCTGTGTTATGTCCTAAATAACAGAAAGCAAGTATTTA